GGCAGGCGGGGGTGGGGAGGCAGCGGGGCTGGGCTGAGTGCCGGTAGGCTGGGAGCCTGCTGCCGCCAATGCCGCCAGCCCCGGGGCTGCCATGGCGGCCGCCGCGGCAGCGCCCTGGGAGGGCGCCGCCTGCGGTGCTGCCGCCGCCTCATCATGCGCGCCCCCAGGAACAATCTCACGTCCCTGTGGGAGCTGGGCACATTGAGGGCCGGCCCGCATAGCCTGGACAGCGGTTGCAGGGAGTTCAGCGTCCCGCGGCGCTCTGGGGTGGGGCTCTGCTGCGGGGGCAGGCGGGGGTGGGGAGGCAGCGGGGCTGGGCTGAGTGCCGGTAGGCTGGGAGCCTGCTGCCGCCAATGCCGCCAGCCCCGGGGCTGCCATGGCGGCCGCCGCGGCAGCGCCCTGGGAGGGCGCCGCCTGCGGTGCTGCCGCCGCCTCATCATGCGCGCCCCCAGGAACAATCTCACGTCCCTGTGGGAGCTGGGCACGTTGAGGGCCGGCCCGCATAGCCTGGACAGCGGTTGCAGGGAGTTCAGCGTCCCGCGGCGCTTGGTCTGGGGCGGTCTGGGGGCAGAGGAGCGCAAGGAAATGCTCAAGTCCTGTCCTGTCCTGACATCCCCAAAGGCAGCAGCTGCAACAGCAAGCTGGTGGGCCAGGTTCGGGGCTCGGAATGGATGGGTGTGCCGCGGCAGCAGCAGGGCAGGCAGGCGGGCGTGGTGTAGTGCTCGCAGCAAGCCCGCGCCCTCACCGTGGACAGCGCCGCTCCCCTCTCGGCCACACTGCCCAAGAACATGCCGGCGAGGTAGACTAACTTGTACGGGGCAGAGGGGCCGTCGCCCCAGTAAACGCCGCCGCCCTTAGCTGCAGTTTGGGAAAGAAGTTGCAGTGCTCGGTTATGCCTACCCAGGGTCCGGCCAGGCCTCCTTCCGCGCACCGTACTGCACGCACGAGGATTCGTAGCCGGCCCCAGCGCTGGGCTTGTCCTCGCCCTCTGCTCTGCACGTCAAGGAAAATGGCCCCTCTTCCAAGCCAGCTCCAGACAGCTGCGGCGGGGCAGCGGGCAGCAAGCGGGGCATGACGAGATCTTCTGGGTGGGGCATGAGCAGGGCAACAATCCCCAATCAACACCAGGCTTGCTACGCTGCATTAATCTCACCGTTGCCTTGCCGTTGATACATGATGTGAGGTTGAGAGTGCCAGCGTAGTAGGCCCCGTTTGTCCTGCCCCACTCCGCGCACATCATCTGCAGCATAGCGCGTACCGCGGGGTGGGTGGCCGTGCCAGAAGAGCAACAGGCACCTATCTACAATCGCGAGGCAAAGCAGGAGGTGTGGTATGGCAGAAAGAGCTAGCGCGCCAAACCACTCTCTTTCTCCTGTTTTGCCTGTTCCACACCACTCAACCATGCCCACCTCACGCTTCAGCAGGCCAGCCTGCTCCAGCTCTTTGAAATTGTTTCTGCAGGGCAAGCAAGCATGCCAGGTTGGGCAGGTCATGCGCCAGCATCGCAGCACCCTAGTGCCCTAACAAACACGTGTCGTGCGACGTTGTGGAGCAGTGGCGAGGTCGGGATTGCAGCAGGCATGTTTGTGTACTCACGCGATGCGCTCCAAATTCTCCTGCACGTATGCCCACATGTCCGCCAGCAGGGCCCTGCACGGGAGGTGGCGGCGTGGTGTCTGCATCGGTTGTAGCCTGGCAAGAGTGTCTGTTGTGCTGTGGCACGCTGCCTGCCTCGCTCACTTGCTCGCCTCAAGGACCTCGTCCTTCAGCCCCATGGCCACCAGCTTGACCTCCACCGCTGCATCATATACAGCCTTGGATGTTGCATCGTACACAGCGCCGGCAGCGTCCTTGGTTGTCTCCCAGACCTCCCAGGCGCCTTCCTCTATCGCGTCGCCCACCCCGATGGCCCACTTGGTCCCCCAGCTTGCCAGCTGCTGCGTGGCATCCCACGCAATACGCGTGTCCAGATCCGGAGTGGGCAGGAAGGCAAGGCGGCGGCGCCCCAGGGCGCTAGTGCCGCCAGCCAGGTAGGCGACCAGGTCGTCCAGTAACAGTGCCGTCAGGTTGGAGCTGGCGTTGAGGGCGCCAGAGTAGATACTCAGCAGGTCGGACGCGTTGGCAGGGCTGGCAGCGGCGTTGACATCCTGCTATGCAGAGGGCTAGGTTGCAAGGTGGGGTAGACAGACAGACAGACAGACAGACAGACAGCGGGCCCAGGCCTCTGCTGCGCATGCTGCTGTTGCATGTCGCGCTGCCAATCCTGTTGCTGCCATCACTTGCAGTAGCTGCTGCTTACGGTCGATGCAGGAGCCTGCGCCGTCGCACGTCCCGCTAGGGCACGGCACCCCTTCTGCCTTGGCGTTGTACACGCAGTAACCCTGGGCGGCGTTGCACTTGCCAGGCAGCTCTTGGCAAGGCCCAGGCCGAGTGCACATGTCGTCGGGCACCCAGGTGGCTACAACAGGAAGGGGTGGGGCCTGGGCAGCAGACAAGGCGGTGGCGACGGATAGCAGGCAATGCAACGTGGATATGCCCTGTTGCCCAGCACGAGGTGGTGGTGTGCTGCTGGAGAGCCCACTTTTGGCCCTAGCCCCGGCAGCAGCGGCATCGGCCCACCCGCGCACCTGATGGCGACAGGCACTCCACTGATGCATAGTAGCTGGTGCCGCAGTCGGAGGCGGGCGTCTTGTCGAGGCTGCACTCCTCCAGGCCCTGCTCCGTGCCGGTACAACTGGCGTTCCTGATCCAGACCAGCTGATCGCTGCCTAGGTAGTCGTAGGTACTGGTCACTGATGCCGCCTCGCCGTTGAGGCCCAGCTGGCGGCACACTGCTGCAGCCCCTAGGGCGTCCAGTGCACACACCTGTGGTTCAGCACGCAGGGGTGGGGAGGAGGAGGCGTGAGCAGCAGCAGCGGGAACCCACGGGTGCGCAGGGCTGGGGCCAGAGCCGCGTCATTCACACCCAGCCACAGCACAGCGCACGCTGCATGCGACGTGATTCCATACGCATACCGGCCTGCATGCGTCACCCTTGGCATGCAAATGGGACGGCCCACAGTGGCGCCCGCTTGCCGGGCCCCACCCACCTGTCCCCACATGCCATCGCGGAACACTTCCACTCTGCCCGAGCTGCAACTGTTGGAGCCGGTCAAGCGGACTGGGATGGCGGGGGTTCCGCCTGCGTAGAGAGCACATTGCTGCAGCTCATCCCGCTGACCTGACGCCGCAGTCAAGGAATGCTTAAGGCACGTCGGGTCAAGCGCATGCAGCACCCTGCGCAGTGCAGCCTTACCACCCACCCTGGTTGGGCGTGCAGGTGACGACTGCGTAGCCGCTCTCGCAGGCGGCCTGCGTGGCGTCCACATGCTGGCAGTCCACCAAACGCTCCTCAGTGCCGCTGCAGCTCAGGTTAGCCACCCAGCTGAGCTGCGACCATGTGGTGGTGGGATATGCTGTCACGGCGGCGCCTTCCAGGCCCAGCTGGCGGCACACCACTGCTGCCTCGGCAGCGTCAAACCCATCGCTGCAGAGGGCGCCCCACATGCCGTGGCGGAAAAGGTAGACAGGCCCACTGGTGCTGCCAGGCACCTCCCCCTCGTCTCAGATCATCACGGCGTCCTCTGGGGTGCGCTTGGCTGTGGGGCAGCAGAGACAGAGTGCAAAGCGGACATTCAACAGGTGTGCGGATAGCAGGTGCTTGGTAAGGGAACTCAACAGGTTGTGCGGAAGGTGCAGCACGCTGCACACACCCGCGCAGCAGCGGCAGCATCAAGCAGCGGGGCTGACCTCACCGATTGGGTAGCACTGCACCACCGCAGTGCCCTCGTAGCCACAGGAGCTGGCATTCACGGGCTGGTAGTCGCAGTCCAGCAGGCTGGCCTCTGTGCCGTTGCATGAGGTGGCGTTGATCCAGACCGGGCGGCCTGTAACGTTTAACGTGTCGGCGCTGGCCCAGGCGGAGCCCTGCAGGCCCAGCTGCCTGCACAGGACAGCTGCCTCCAGGGCACCAAAGGCGCAGACCGACCCCCAGAAGCCGTTGCGGAAGACTTCCACGCTGCCCTTGATGCTGGCGTCTGGTTGTGCCGTGCCTTCGCTGTACAGACGCACGAGAACAGCGGGGGTGGGCGTGGTGCCATCCGTGGCATTCTGAGGCTGCGGCTGCGCCTCGCCTGCAGCAGCATGGCAGCAGCCGTGGCAAAAACAATTGGTGCGGCATGGGCATGGGCAGCGGGCTGCACACGCAGCGGCCCGCCGCTGCAGCGGCGGCGACCAGAGGACGCACGACAACTTAGAAACCCAAGCGGCGGCCACTGTTCCGGAATCATGTGAAGCTTTGGAGCTTGCCTGGTTTCGCAGCAACGAGGAGCAGGAACAACAGCTGTGCATGTTGGCAAAGCTGCATGTTGCTGCCTGCCACTGCGGAGGGGTTGCTTTTCGAGTATGTGAGTGGTTAACTCGCGGGGTCAAATGCGGGTATCTCGTTTGCAAGTGTTGGGTTTCGAGTGAAGGCTACGTCAGGCTGTAGACGTGCGCGCGCGAGATTGTTGCTGGACCTTTTGACCGCGTCAGCGTGTGTTAAACATAATGCAGAGACGTCCGGGAGCTGCCTGCGACGTCCAAGCCGTCCAGCCCTCGGCTGATGCAGCACTGCACTAGCCGGCGGCGGCGCCGCCACCGCCGCCGCCAGCTGGCAGTCCGCTGTTGCCATCCACCGCTGCCAACTGGTCTGGTATGTCACAGGGAGGGAGCAGGTACAAAGGCATAGGTAGCAGTGTACACGAAGAGAGGGAGCTAGCAAACGGAGCAAAAGGCACAGGCGACGGCACGGAGCAAAAACTAGGACATGACGGGCAGCTGCCGCGGGTGCAGGTACGGCCTTTGGGCACTGGAGGTTGCATCTCAAGCTGGGGCAGCGGTTCTGCATTTACAGAGAGAGACTCCCAACCGCCAGCCACCAGCAGCTGCAACCGTCCCTCCATGCCCTGCCGCGCCACATACTAGTTGGACAGGTGCTGCTCCAGCTTGGCAAAGGCCTTGAGGCCCTCGTTCTCGCCCTCATCTGGCTCCGCCTCCTCCACGCCGCGCACCTCGGGGATGTAGTGCATCAGCATGTTCTCGATGCCGCTCTTCAGGGTCACAGCAGAGGAGGGGCAGCCGCTGCAGGGCGGGGAGAGGCAGGCGCGGCGAGGACGGCGGTGTGGCGGTGTGGTGTGGTGCCTTGCTCGCCCTCAGCACAAGCAACACCACCCCGCAGCAAACCCCACAGCCAGCCAGCCAGCCCGCAACGGCCAGCCACCTCCCCGATACAGCCACCCGACTGCCACCAGATCGCCGCCTTGCATGCGCCGCCGCCCGCACCTGCAGGCGCCCATCATCTTCAGCTTGACCACCCCCGACTCCGGGTCCCAGGTGCGGAACACGATGTCGCCGCCGTCCTCCTGCACCGCGGGGCGGATGCGCGTCTCCAGCAGCTCCTTGATCATGGCCACCACCTGCGGGCATGGGGGAGGGGTAGGGCAGGGCGTGTGCGTGGCTGGTGTGGATGCGGTTTATTGTGCCGGCGGGCAGCATCGGATCCTCGGGGCGTGCTCCCGCGCCCACCCTGCCAGCCAGGCCACCTAGCCAGCCACCCACCTCGTCGTCGTCTTCGTGGATCATGTGCTCGGCAGCGCCCGTGTCCTGCGGACAGCGCAAAAGGATGCACCAGGGCTGGGCAGGGCTGGGCAGGCCGACGGCGCTGCGCGCGTTGGGGGCGCAAGCTGCCACCAGGGCTTGCCAGCGCGCACACACACACCACACACACCACACACACACACACCTGCTCGTCGTAGAAGAGGGCCTCCCCAGACGAGTAGTGGTCCATGATGGCGGCAAACACGTCTGGCTTTAGCACTGCCCACCCATAGTCCTCGCTCTTGGTCACGGTCACAAAGTCGGAGCCGAAGAAGACCTGCGGGTTGTGGCGCGGGTGTGGTGTGGGGAGGGAGTGGCGTGTGCAGAGGGCGGGTCGAGTGGCACGCGCTTGAGGGCGGTGTGCACCGGCACATATAGTAGGGTGCATGGGAGTGGGCCCCCTTGCCTGGCCACACACACACACACAAGGCACGTATTCACACGCCGGGCGCCCCACCTGGGTGACGCCGTCGATGGCAAACAGCTTCTTGGCCAGCGGCGAGGCCATGGCCTCCCGCGCGCTCGTGAAGCTCTTGCTGCCCCCCTCCAACACCTTCTGCCCTGGGATGAACATCAGGCTGGCCGGGTTGGGCGTGGGCTGCGTCTGGATGAACATGCCGCGCCGCTGGGCTGCAAGTGGGCACGCGCAGGTGGGCAACTTGCAGGCCAGGGGGGCGGCTGCCGCTCCGCGGCAAAGCGGCGCGCGGCAAAGCGGCGGAGCGGCAGGCATGGAATGGCAGAACCCCCGGTGCTGCGCCTACTCACCATGCTGTGCTGCCGGCTGAAGAGCTGCAGGATGCCGCAGCGTGGCCAGGCTGTGCAGGCTTGCTGTTGCCGATGCCGCCGGCGGGGGGAGCCCCGCCGCCGCGGCGCCGCCCCGTTGCGCCAGCTGCAGCAGGACGCAAAGCGGTGGGATCACGAAAGCCTGCAACCAGGAGGCCGTGACGCAGCGCCAGGCAGCGCACAAGTCCCGCCACTCCCTCTCACCGCTGGCAGCGCCCGAGCGGTCGCTTCCACTGCCGCTGTCGCCCTCCATAGCTGCTGCACTGCCTGTCGGCGCATCCTTCCGTCGCTTCCCGAAGCGGGAAGAGCTCGCGGGTGGCGCAGGAGCGAGCGGTGGCACGAGCCGAGGGAGACGGCCTTGATCACCAGCTCGAGAATGCCAGAATGGTGCAACAAGGTGCAATAAGCAGATATCGTGCGTTGAACAGTGCTATGCCACCTCATTTCATACTTGTATGCAGGGTTCCGTGACGATCTGATCCATGCACATTGCCGGATCGCGAGCCTCCCCAACCAACACCAGAAGGCCCGCCATGCGGCACATGTGGGTTGCAGCTGCGGCGGGGATGGTGGCCAGAGGGCCTGCCCACGGCCTGCCAGGCACAGCAAGGTGAGTCAGCAACGATGAGGTGCAGGCAGGCCTGAGAGGGCGCAATGGGAATGGGCTGCTGCGCCGCCCGCCGCTGCCGCCCGGCTCCACCCTGCCCTGCACAGCTCGGTGCTGTGTGTAGGCTGCTGTCTACTGCTGCTGCCGCAGTGGTGGCCACGCTAGAGGAGCAGCTGGAGCGCGCCCCCTGGATCCAGCTGCTCCCGGTGAGCTGCCACAAGCTGCTTCGGGAGGTGTCCCGGTGTTTCGACACGGCCGTGGGGTGTGCTCGCCACCGGGGCTCTCAGAGTCGGCTCACAAGCGGCACCGCCCGCCTGCCGCACGCGCAGGTCCCCGGGGCCGGCCGCGGCCTGTTTGCGGCAGCCGACATCGAGCAGGGCATGGTGGTGCATGAGGAGGCCCCCATGCTCTGCGCCCCATCGCCACACGCCCTGCACTCCACCTGCCACCACTGCCTGCGACCGCTGGCGCCCGGCGCAGCCAGCCACCATGGCGGCAGCAGCAGCAGCAGCCCAAGCAGCAGCAGCCCAAGCAGGATGCCCTTCTGCTCCCCGACCTGCAGCGCTGCCGCCCAGGGAGAGTGGGCGGCGGCAGCAGCCCGGTGCGACTTTGGCCCGCTGCAGCAGGCGTGCCGGGAGGCCGGCGAGAAGTTCCCGCTGATGCTCGCCCGTCTGGCCTGCATCCAGGTGCAGCAGCAGCAGCAGCAGCAGCAAGACGACAAGGGAGGGGCCAGCGGCCGCGGTGGCGACGGCAGCAGTGCCCGCGGCAGCAGCATCAGCAGCGCAGAGGCAGGAGAGGCAGGAGAGGCGGCAGACGCGACGGGGGCAGAGGGTCCGCTGGCCAGGGGCGACCCGCTGACTCAGCTGCGCCACCTGTGCTTCGCCAACCTGGCGGAGCCGCCGCCGCCGTGGGCGGACATGCACCGCCTGCTGCTGCACGCCCTGCGCCCGCTGCTGGAGCCCGAGCTGCGGCGGCAGCTGTCGCTGGCCTGGTTCTGCGACGCCATGGCGCGCCTCCACCTCAACTCCTTCAGGTCTGGCGCGCCGCCGAGCCACGAGCGCGCGGCGGCGTCTCCCCCCACCCTGTGCTGCCGTGTGCGGGCTTGTTGCCTGCTGCCATGACGTCGTTGGCCGCCCTCCTTTCCACCCGCTGTGCAGGGTGGACACGGTGCCGCCGCTGGACGCGTCCGACCCCTCCGCCCTGCTGCGCGCCGCCGCCGCCTCGCTGGCCGGCTCGGCGTCGGCGGCGCACCACACCGGCAGCGCCGCCTACCTGCTGGCCAGTCTGCTGAACCACAGCTGCGAGCCCAGCCTGGGCGTTTCCTTCCCCCGCAACAATGCCGTGGCGGCGTTCACCGCGGCCCGCCACATCGCGCGCGGCGAGCAGCTGACCGTCAGCTACGTCGACGCGGGGCAGGGCCTGGCGGCGCGGCGGCAGGCCCTGGCCTGGGCCTACGGCTTCACCTGCCGCTGCCCGCGGTGCGTGGAGGAGGCGGCGGCGGGCGGCCAGTGACGTGCTTGGGCTGTAGCTTGGGCTGTAAGTTACACGACTAGTAGGTGATAGGGGTGCTGTTACCCAGAATCATGCTGCTACAAAGGCAGGAACATGCATGCGGGAACAGCGCACTCAGCCCGCCGCCACTGCCGCCAGGAACAGCTTCAGGCCCGGCAACTCCTCGACGCCGGCGGGGGCGGCGGCAGGGGCGCCGGGCGGCGCCGCCGCCGCGCGCCGCGCCCGACGCCTGGCCAGCGCCATCTCTGCGGCCACCCAGTTGCTCTCCCTGCACATCCTCCCAAACGGCGGGTAGCTGCGCACCAGCACCGCGGCCTCGCTGGCCGCCACCTCCAGGTTGCCGGCCAGCTCCAGGCGCAGCGGCTGGTCCGCCGCCACCGCCGACCTGGCGGCCGCCAGACGGGCCGCCGGCGAGCCGGCCCCCGTGCCGCCCGTGGGCACCAGCTGGGCTTGGTGCGCCTCCGAACAGGCCAGCTGCTCGGCGACCTGCATGGCCGACAGCAGCTGGGTGCACAGGTAGTGCATGCGGGGGCCGCTGAGCGGGCCCAGGAAGGGCAGGCGCGGCGGCGCCGCCGCCGCCTGGCGCCCGCGGTCGCGCTGCCGGCGGCTGCTCCGCTCCCGCGCCTCCTCCTCCGCCTCCTTCGCCTCCACCCGCGCCTGGTCTTCTGTGCTCAGGCGCAGGCGCAGGGGCAGGCCGTCGTCGGGCTGGCTGCCTCCGTTCTGCTCCAGCTCAGCAGCCACGCTGGCCGCCACCGCCGCAACCAGCGCCGCGATCGTGGTGAGCATCCTGCAGCAGCAGGGCGACGCTGCGGGGCTCAGCGGGCAGGCGTCCAGGTGGCTAGCAAACTGGCCCCTGCCTGGGGCAAGCCACACACTGACGTCGACGGCAGGGGAGGCGACGCAGGGGGGCAGGGTGCACAGCAGGTGAGCGCAGCCAAGGGGCGCCCTCACCTGGCAGCATGCACCAGCTCTCCAGGCTTGGAGTCTGCCGGGGACACCACCGGGCGGAAGCGCGCCAGCTGCAGCAGCCGGTGTACCAGGCGCAGCGTGCCGCCGGCGGCCAGCAGCTGGCGCCGCCGCCGCAGCAGCTTGGCGGCGGCCGCCGCGGGCTGCTGCTGCTGCGCGGCTGGCCCAGGCGACACCAGGTTCATCAGGAGGTGGCAGGCATTGATGAGGGCGTGGTCTGCGGCAGCCACCGCCGCCGCTGTGACTGCTGGGGCGCAGCCTGCGGCGCAGGCGGCCACGTACTGCACCAGCTGCTGCAGCGTGGCGGGGCTGGCCAGCGCATCCAGCCACAGCTGGTGCTCCTCGCGCCGCCGCTCGCCGCCCGCAGAGCCAAAGGCCGGGTCGGAGACTTGCAGCAGCAGCGGCAGCAGGAAGGTGGCGCCCTCTGCACGGCGTCGGGGGGCAGGCGGGAGCGGCAAGGGGCGAGGAGGGCCCTTCAGCGGTGCAGCATGTCGGCGCAGGCAAGCACACGTGCTCTGCCAAGACAGCGAAGGTGCAAGGGGCCAGCCGTTGCGCAGCCGGGAGTGCAGCAGGCACCCGCCACAGCAGTACTAGCTGCCTGCCTGCCCCCGCTCACCGGCCGGCACGGGCAGCCGCTCCTCCCCCTCCTCCGCCCCCTGCTCGCCCGCTCGCAGCGACAGCAGGAGGGGCAGCAGGGGGCGCAGGCGGTCGGCAAAGGCGTCGGGCACCTCGGCACAGAAGCGCGCCAGCACGCGCAGCGCGGCCAGCATGAGCGGCTGGCGGGCGCCGCCCTCCCCAGCATCCTCGCAGCTCGTCTGCTCGATGAACTGCAGCACCACCTCCACAGCCTCCTGCGGGCGGGCAGGCAGGCAGGCAAGGCGCGCCAGGCTGAGCACGGCAAAACTGAGCAAAGCGTGAGGCCCAGGCCGGCGGTGGTGAGCGGCGGCGCGGCTGCACGACAGCCCAATGGACGCCGGCATGCCTGAAGGGAGAAGAGCGCCCGCTCCGCCACGGCAGCAGGCAGCACGGGTGGGGACCGCGGCTCGCCGCCGCCGTCCGAGTCGCCGCCGTCATCCTGGAGAGCCTCCGAGCGCTGCGGGGTGCAGAGAAGCGAGAATACGGGCGGTAGAGTTGGTGGGCACATGAAGGTGGCCAGCAAACAGGGAGCAGCCTGTCGCCAGGCGTGGGAAGCAGATGTGCGGCAGTACACGCTGCCGCGAAGCGTGCCGGCTACAGCAGGCGCGGCAGCCTGGCGGCGCCACGCGGCCGCCGCTCGCCTGCGTGTCCTCCGCCAACGCCTCCACGCCTGCCTCCAGCAGCGCAAAGCAGCAGGGCAGCACCCGCGCGGCGCGCTGCCCCGATGCCTCGCTGGGGCCATCCCACCGCATGCCTGCATGGGAGCGATGTGTTGCACGGGGGGTGGCACAGGTGAGGCGAGAGCAGGGGGCGCCGGGCGCGGAGGGCAGGGGCGCAGGGCTGGCGGCAATCCTGCATGCCAGCCAACAAACTCTCGACCAGCCAGCCTACCTGAGGGGATTGGCGTCTCGTCCACCCGCCGCACATACTCGCCCTGCTGCGGCTGGCGCCCGGCCGCCGCCTCCTGCTCCCGCCGCAGCTGCTCCTCCATCTGCCGCCTGTCCTGCTCGCTGTGCAGCACCCGCACCAGAGGCTCCACGTCAGCCGCCACGCTGGCGCCCTCGGGCCCTCCCGCCAGGTCAGCCGCCAGCTCAGCGCCCGCCGCGTCGGGCACGCTGTCCCCGGCCTCAGAGCCGCCCGCGCTGCTGCCGGCGCGCGCGCGCGGCGCCGGCGGCAGCCAGTCTGCGGCTGCGGTACCGGCGGCGGACGCCAGCGGTACCGGTACGCCTGGCGCCAGCGCATCGTGCAGCAGCACGCTCGTCTCCACCTTGACAACCTCCACCAGCAGCTGGAAGAAAGCGGCCACCTCAGCAGCATCCACTGCCTGGGCGCCGCCGCCACCGCTGGCCCCAACACCGTCGTCGCCGCCGCTGCCGCCGCCGCCCAGCAGCCACTCGGGGCCCAGCAGGTCCAGCACCGCGGCCGCCAGCTGCAGCGCGGAGTGGCGCTGCACGGCGCTGATGCGGCCGCGCAGCAGGAGCGCCAGCCCGCGCCGCGCCGCCGCCCCCCACCGCGCCCCCGGGTCAAGCAGTTCGCCGGGCAGGCAGCCAGGGTACGGCAGCGGCAGCAGCAGCAGCAGCACGTGCAGCGCCTCCAGCTGCACCGCCAGCAGCGCCCGCCGCAGCTGCAGCTGCTCAGCCAGGCTGCTGCCGCCGTCGGCAGCCAGTTGGTCGGCGGGCAGCGCAAAGGCGCGGGTCAGGGCTGGCAGCAGCTGCCCCAGAGCCTGGGAGTCTGCAGGGCGGCGTGAGCGGCGCCACACAGGGTTGGTTGGGGAGGGCGCAGAGCAGGAGGCGAGCTGGGGCACGCAGGCAGGCAGGCAGGCAGGCAAGATCCAAGCTTGGCAGGCCAGGCACACCTGCCAGCAGCTGGTCCCGCCCCTCCTCCGCAAGTGCCGCCGCCGCCAGCTGCAGCGCCAGCGACAGTTGCTGCGTGGCCGACGGCGAGGCTGACTGCAGGGCCGCCGCCGCCGCCACGACCGCGCCGCACTCTGCCGCCACCGCCCGGCCCTCGGCGCCGCTGCGGGCGGCCGCCACCACACAGTCCAGGGCGTCCTGCACTGCTGCTGCATCGGCTGCTGCGTCGGCAGCCTCTTCCTCTGGCCCCGCCTTGGCCTGCGGCCAGCGCCCCGCTAGCAGCGGCGTGACGCCGCCGGCCCGCACCACATTCAGCAGCAGCGGCAGCTTCTCCACAACATCCCCAGACCCTGCCAGCTCCGGCACCCGGGAGAAACTGGAAAGCACCGCCAGCGCCAGGCCGCACTGCGCCGCCTCCTGCTGCTGCTGGGCTGTGGCCTGGTCGGGGGGCAGGGCTGGTGGCGGCGCCACCGAGGTGCGCAGCGGCAGCAGCAGGCGGGTGAGGAAGGCGGGCCCCACCGCCTGGTGCACGCTCCGGATGGTGGCCGCATCCCCTGCCGGCAGCAGCTTGGTCACCAGCAGCAGGCCCACAAACCTGCCGGGATGGGGCAGGCAGGGGCGGGGTAGGGCGGATGAGCGGTCCGCCTGGGAGAAGCTGGCGAGGGCGCGGCACCACCGCGGGGGCAGCAGCGTGGCTAGCCGCATGCATACAGCAAGCACCGCTGCGCACCTTCGTTCGTCCGTGGGGCCCCGCAGCAGGTCTAGGCATTCTGCCAGCCCCACCGCCACCTGCTCTGGGGTGGTGGCAGCAGCGGGCTCGAGCGGGGAGCGCACCGGCGCTGGGGTGGTAGCACTAGCCGGCTCCTTGGCCGGCCTGGACGAGCTATCGGGCGCATCTCCGTCGATATTATGGCGCTCTGGGTGTGCCTGTGGGCCCTGTTGCGGCAACAGAAAGCCTCCTCTCATGGCAAGGGGGCCCTTGTCAGGCGCGCTGGGAGCGGTAACGGTGCATATAAGAGCTGGGATGCTCCAATTGAATGCCTGAACTCTTGTTTGAGGCCTTCTAGTAACCCGTGCGGCGTGCTGTGCTGTGGAGCCCTAACAGGCGTTCCCTGCGCAGCGCATTGTCATTTTTCTGATTCTTGTACCAGCCACACCCTGCACCAGCGATAAGAACGCCCCCTGGTCCCCACGCCCCGCTGTTGGGTTTCTGCGCCTCCTTTCGCTCTGCAAACTGCCTGGAGAAGCCTGTAAATCAGCAGCCATGGCGGATGAGATGCGAGCGATGCTCGATCAGCTGATGGGCAAGGTGAGTAGGCGATGGGGGGCCCGTGGCGCGCTGTAAGACCCCTTTTGTGCAGCAGAAGGACACCAGGATGGCTTGGAGTGCAGCGGCAGCCTGGGAAGAGGACTGGCGCACCACCCTGCCGACCCGCTGCCGCTGCCGCCCGCCCGCAGGATCGGGACGTCCCGCTGGACCGGCGAGTGATTCGGCAAGCCAAATTTTCGGACCCCGAAGTCTGTAAGCATGCCCTGGCCGGTCTTTGCCCTTTCGGTGAGTGCCGCGCACCACCAGGCTGACGTGCCCGGGCCGGTGGCTCTGCCCGCAGCCGCGGCAGCGCGCCAGCGATGCCGCCGCCGCCTCACCCCTTGTCGCCAGCCAGCCAGGCATTGGGTGAGATTCGGCAGCAGCGCTCCATCGCCATGCCGCGGCCCTGGCAGCTGTTCTGGTCACCGGCTGGGGCCGCTGCCGCGGCTGCCTCTGCGCCCGCACTGCTCATCACCTCCAAACCACGCCCCCTCTCCGCTCCCGCAGGCCTGTTCCTGAACACCAAGAGCGACCTGGGCCCCTGCGAGTTTGAGCTTCACGAGGACCACCTGGACTGGGATGCCCTCAAGGCAGACTACGACGCGCTGGCGGAGCGGGAGAAGGAGCGGTGCGTGTGGGCATGCTGCTGCTGCCGCCGCTGCTGCCGCCCCCGCTGGCGAGCGGCGGTCGCGCGTCATGGGATGGGTGCAGGGATGTGGGATGGCTGGGGGGGGGGGGGGGGGGGCAGCCTGAGCCTCCTCCATGTTCTGGTGCTGCCTGAGCTCGTTCCTGGCACGCGCCTGACCGCCGTCTCCACCTCCGGCCGCCCTGGCAGGTATGGGTATGGGCGCAACCTGCTTCGCCTCCTGCAGCGCCTGGTGGGAGACATGGACCGCAAGGTGAGGTGGGGCGGGGACCAGGGCCCAGGGCAGGTCTGTGCAGATGCTGGTCTGGGCCAGGGCTGCTGCTCACGCTTGCCCCTGCACCGCCGCCGGCCCCCGCTCGTGTGCCGCGTGCCGCAGATTGAGAAGGCGCAGGAGCGGGCTCGGCTGGAGAGCATGCCCAAGCCGCTGAAGCCAGAGCAGCAGGCGGAGGTGGATGGGCTGCGCGCCCAGGCCAAGGGTGCGCCCATGCTTGCAGAACAATCTGGCCTGCGTCCCAGCTGCATCGGCCCGCCAAGTTCCGGCATCCCTGCCTGCACGTCTCCCAGCCTGCTGCCATGCGGCCCATCTGCTGGCATGCCTGCCGCCTCCCATGCACTGGGCACCCCGTGCATCTGCCTCGCACCAAGCATCACTCACCCGTGCCCTGCCCTGGCGCAACCTGCTCCTCTGCACCTCCCCTCGTCATGTCCTCGTCATGTCCTCGCCTGTCCGTCCCGCCACCCTTCCCACCCCCCCCCACCCCCCTGTCGTGCAGCCCTGACGGAGCGCAGCGAGCAGATGGCGGAGGAGGGGGACGTGGATGCCAGCATGGCGGCGGTGGCCCAGGCGGAGCGCCTGCGTGCCGACGCCGACAAGCTGGCCGCGCGGTACTCGCAGCCCGACCGCTTCATGGAGGTGTGCGGCGCACAGGCTGCCTCCCTCCCTGGCCCGCCTGTTCCCCCACGACGCCTGCCCCTAGCTGGCCTGCTCCCCTGCCTGGCGGCACGCGGCCCCACCCGCCGGCCCGCGCGCTACCCATCCCCAACCCAGCCCCGCCTCCCACCCCGTTCCCCCACCCCCCCGCCAGGTGTGCGACGTGTGCGGCGTGTTCATCCAGTCCACAGACAACGAGGCGCGGCGGCGGGACCATTTGGAGGGCAAGCAGTACCTGGGCTGGCTGGCCATACGGGAGAAGCACAAGGAGCTGATGGGCAAGTATGCGGGGGCGGCGGCAGGGGGCGGCGGCGACGGCGGCGGCCACCCTCCCGTGCAGCACAGGTGCGTGGGGTGGGGGGCGCGAGGCGCGGCCCTGGGCGATGGCGGCGACGGACTGGCTGCTGGCTGGGCCGTGCCGGGATTGAAGTGTGTGTGTGTGTGTGTGTTCTGTTGGCGCGCGCAGGGAGGCGGAGGAGGGGGAGGTGCGCGGGGAGGAGCCGCGCCAGCGCAGCAAGAGCCGTGACGAGGAGCGGGACCGCAGGCGGCGCAGCCGCAGCCGGTCGCGCGACCGCAGGTGGGCTTGGCGGCCTGGCTGGGGCGCTCAGGGAGGGGGTGCCCGTGGAGACGATTGTGGGTGGGTGGCAGCGCAGCTCAGGCGCCGCTGACGTGCCCGCTCCGCTGCCTTCCCGGCCTTCCTTCTCTCTTGCAGGCGGTACGATGACCGGCGGAATGACGACAGGCGGCGGTACGATCAGGACAGGGGCTACGACCGCGGCGGCAGCCGCGGCTATGGAGCCATGCCGCCGCCGGATGCGTATCGCGGCCGCGGCGGGCGGTACTGAGGGCGACTCACGCACCGCCGGGGCCGCCGCCACCCTATTGTCTGTTTGCTTGCCTTGATGCTAGCCGCTGCTCTGCTTGATTTGTTTTGCACCCCTTCACGACCTCCTCTCTGTTGCCATTTCGTTTTTGTCAGGTTACCGTTTCAAAAATAGGCTGCCGCCGCACGTGCAGCCCCACGCACGTGGGGAGCAGAGGGCATGGCAGCGGCGGGAGGCGGCGGGGTACATGCGGAGCGGACTGGGCGCGCGAGGGGGGGGGGGGGGGGCGCGCCCATGAAATGAATCGTTTTGGAAAGAGAAGCAACAGTGGAAGGGTGGGACGGGTCATCTTCTCGAGACAATAAGAAAGAATAGGCTGCGTCGAGGCAGCAGCGAGCAGTGCAGGAGCGGGAGGGGAGGCCTCCGCTCTCTACTTGGGCTCGGGCTTGCCCTGCACCAGCACACGAGGGCAGGGCGTTACTTCAAAGCAGCACGCTGGTTCACGCCTGCTAAGCGCAGCGCAGTGGCGCACGACTGGTACCGGCGGCACGGCTGGCCCTCCCTAAGGTAAACTCGCCCCGCTCACTGCACCTCCCAACCTCGCCCCAAGCCGGGCCCCAACCAGCCAGTGAGCACGCCCCCCACCGCAGCAGGCAAACCCACCTGGAGCACGCTCTCCAAGTACTCCACCTCCCACTTGCTGCCACAGAACAGGGGCACTCTCTGGTGGACGGCCTCGGGCACAATGTCCAGCACGCGCTGGAAGCCGGTGGAGCCCTTGCCGCCGGCCTGCTCCGCAATCATCGACATGGGTGCGCACTCGTACAGCAGGCGCAGCTTGCCGTTGGTGTTCTTGGCGTCGCCGGGGTAGCCGTAGATGCCGCCTGCGGGCGGGAGGCGAGGTAAGGGGAGGGAGGAGAGGGGGGTGGAGTTGCCTGCTGGTGCAGCTGGTGGCACAGCCGGCGCTGGGCCCACGCTCTGCTTTCCTGCGGCTCCCGTGTGGCTCCCCCCTGGGGTGCTGGCCACGCCGGGCGCGCTCACCGTAGAGCAGGGTGCGGTGGAAGTCTCCCACCAGGCTGCCAATGTAGCGGGAGGAGTAGGGCTTGCCGCCCCACTTCTCGGGGTACTTGAGGCTGTCAATGTACTTCTTCTGCTCCTCGCTCCACATCTGCGGGTGTGGTGGTGTGTGTGTGGCGGAGCAGGGTGAGTAAACGGCAGGAGGGGAGCATGCAAGGCGAGGCAGCGCCCCAATGTGTACCAACGGGCTGGCGTGGCCCCCAGCCCCCGTGCCCACGGCGGGCAGCGCGGCGCCTGCGCGCTGCTGCTCGGCTGGCCTCCTCCCCGCCCTCCACGCCCTGCCCACCCCCCTGCCCACCCCGTCATGCTCCCGCCCGTCCCCACCTGGTAGTTGCCCTCGTTGAAGGAGTAGATCTTGCCCTTGTCGGGGATGCGGATGTTGGGGTGGCTCAGGATGAACTCGCCAATCAGCGGGTCAAAGGTGAAGCCGTACACGCCCTTGCCTGCGGGGACGGGAGGCCGGGGGGGAGGGCAGGGACGCAGGGGTGCGGTGAGAGGAGCCGGGAGCGAGGCGGCGGCCTGGGGAGCAGGTCGAGCGGCAGCTTGGGAGAGCGCGCCGCCGGCCCCTGCCGCCGCCGGCTGCCGCGCCGCCGCGCGGCTCACCCACGGTCAGCACCAGGATGGTGGCGGAGGAGTAGAGCGTGTACCCCGCGCACAGCAGCTCGTTGCCGGCCTGGCACACGTTGAGCACGCACTTCTTCATCATCTCCTCTGCAACGGAACAGCAGGCGCAGCAGGCGCGCGGGGCGTGAGCGCGGCGGCGCCACCGCCAGCCAACCCGCTGGCCCCAAACCTGGTCGCCCGCCCCTCCCCGGCCACCTCCTCCTCGCCTCTCGCCGCTCGCTGCTCGCTGCCAGCCCCCACCACTGCCCAGCTAGCAGCCCACACAATCCCCAACCCCCAGCAGCACACATAATCCCCCACCCCCACCACCCCCACCCCCACCCCACCACCACCCCACCCCACCGCACCCGGGTCGTCCATGTCCTCGATGGAGCACTCCGGTGAGGGCTCGTAGATGCCGAAGATGGAGCCCACAGAGATGCCGGCGTCGATGTTGGAGGAGCCGTCCAGCGGGTCAAACACCACCACATACTCCCCGCTGAATGTCTCCTCCACAGCCACAGGCAAGTCCTCCTCCTCGCTGGCAATCACGCCGGTGCGGCCGCTGCGGGGGGCAGGCAGGCGCGGCGGCGGGTCAAGCAAGTCGAGCCAAGGGTCGCAAAGGGAAGGGAGGGGGAGGGAGCGGCAGCGGGTGGGTGCGCCTGCGCCACATGCGGGCGCCTGCGCCCGGCCGGCGCCTGGGCCGCACCACGCCGCCAGCCCCACGCCGGGCCCCAGCCCCGCGGCCGCCCCGCTGCCAGCCCCATCCCACTGCGCACGCAGCGGGCGGTGCCGCTGGCAGCCATGCAGGCGGCGTGCGGTGCCGGTGCCGCACCTGCTGCGCAGGCAGTTTCCGAAGACCTCGTTTGAGATGACGTCCAGCTTCTTCTGGTCCTCGCCCTGCACCGTTCTCCGGCCCCGCCAGGCCGTGAGGGTTGGAGATGCCCGCGCGGTTGACCAGGGAGCCAATCTGCTTGCAGGCGGTGGCGATGGAGGAGATGACGGCGGCCAGCTCGTTGTCAATCACCGCGTTCTTCTCCAGGTCCAGCAGCCAGGTGGTCAGCGTCTGCAGCTCGTACTGGCTCTTGGCGGAGGTGGCGGCGGGGGTGGCGGCGGGGGCGGCCACGGCCTGGGCCACCACGGCGCGCAGGGGCGCGGCGCGACGGGCGGCGGCGGCGGGGCTGGCGCGGAAGGCGGCGGCGGCGCTCCTGCAGGCCGGGGGGGCGGGCATTCGATGCACGGCATCGATTTGCTGTTTGTGGATCCCTGGGCGCCTCGAAATGCGCCGCCCAGGGCCTGCCAGGCCGCCAGCCCCAGCAGGCAGCAGCCCCCTCAACGCCCGGCATGTCGGGCAATGCTGCGCCAGCGCCGCTCCTCACCGCAGGGCGGGCACCACCAGGACCTGGCCGGCCGGCTTGGTGCTGCAGGCGGCGCCGCAGCGCTGCATCGAGACAGTGGCGATGGAGGCAGCCATGTTTCTGCCGCAAACTGAGGATAAGCCTGCGGAGAAGGGCTGCAGAGGGCGACTATGCTCTGCAGATGAAGGAGAAACCGACCTGAGCACAAATGCGCCACGGAGCAGGTCAGGAAAATGGAGGCCTAGCTGGATGGGCGCGCTGGAAAGGCCTCGTTCCGCACACAGGCGGCCTTGGCGACACCCTGCGCGCCATTACTGCGACCTGCCGTCCTTTGCAGTTAGTTTGAGAACCCCCCGGCCTCGATCGCTAGGTCTTATGTCTGTCGCGGTGGCTGGCCCCCCCGTGGTGCAGCGGGGCGGCGGGATTGAGGGCAACCGAGAACTGCTGTCCGACGATGTGAGTTGAGGCAGAATGGTGCTGTTTTGCTGCTCACCATGCACATAGTGATCCCCTTGTCAAACCTCCCGCGCCACTGCTCCCATTCCCCGCAGCAAGATGCGGCGCTGGTGGAGGCGCTGCTGCAGGAGGGTCAGGCCCACCTGTTTGAGGGGTGGCCGCCGGCGGGCGAGCGGGACCAGGCCAAGCGCCGCCTGCTGGCCCAGCTCCGCCACCTGGACAAGAGCTATGCGGGGGGGCTGCGCAAGTACATCCAGAACGCCCGCCAGCTGCTGCACGACTCCAAGGAGGGTGGGTGAACGGCGGGTGGGGGGTTGAGGCGGGCGGGGCAGCGACGACCGTCGTGCGCCAGCAGGGGATGGGCCAACAAGGCAGCACGAGGGGTCGCCCTTCGGCCACTCCCAGCTACGAGCTGCGCTGCCAGAACCGCCGCTCAGCCAGCCACGCTGCCAGCCTGCTGCGCTGCTCATGCGTGCCCTGCCGTGCGCGCGTGTGCCATCCCGCGCAGGCGTGAACCCTTTCGAGGGGTGCGTGCCGTCGGTGCCCGAGGGTGAGAGGCTCGACTTTGGCAGCCAGCGGTTCCGGGAGCTGGAGCGCGCGGGCGTGGCAGCCGCCGCCAACGCCGCCTTTGTGCTGGTGGCGGGCGGCCTGGGGGAGCGGCTGGGGTACAGCGGCATCAAGGTGGGTAGGCGGCGCATGTGTGTGTGCCCAGTGTGTGGGGGCCCGCACTGGCTGGGGTGCCTCCTTCTGCCCTGCCAGCCGCCCTGCCGCACGCTCGCTGCCTCACGCCTGCCTGTGTGTGTGTGGGCGCGTGCCCCGCGCTGCCCGCCGCAGGTGGCGCTGCCTGTGGAGAGCGCCAGCGGGCAGTGCTTCCTGGAGCTGTACGTCAAGCACATCCTGGCGCTGGGGGTGCGCCTGGCAGCTGGGGGGCGCAGGGGCCTTGGCTTGGTTGGGCTGGGCTGGGCTGGGCTGGGCTGCGCTTGGCTGGGCTTGGCTGGGCGTGGCGTGGCGTGGCGTGCCAGAGCTGCGTTGCTTCCTGGGCTGGTGGCGCCGCCTTCGAGCTGCCGGCAGGCGGCCAGGGCTGCCGCCGGCTCGGGCATGGGCGCCAGCCCCGCTCCTCTGCAGGTGCGCCGCATGCGCTGTATTTTCACCATCCGCGCGCATGCCGCCTGTGGCCGCCCCGCCTCCCCTTCCCCTGCACTGCAGGCTAAGGGCGGCCGCGCTCTGCCTTTGGCCATCATGACGTCAGACGACACACACACCCGCACGCTGGCCCTGCTGGAGAAGCACGCCTACTGGGGCGCCGCGCCCGGCCAGGTCACGCTCATCAAGCAGGAGAAGGTGGCGTGCCTGGCGGGTGCGGCGCCCCTGCTGCCGCCGCCCCTGCTGCCGCCGCCCCTGCTGCCGCTGCTCCAGCTGCGTTGTTGCCGGCAGCACGCTGTGCTTTGCTGAGCGTGCCTTGGCCAGCTGGACTGGCTGCGTATGGAACTTTGCATTTTGCGGGTGACGGAGCAGCTGCGCGGTGCCGTGCTGTGCCGTACTGTGCTGTGCTCCATGCAGACAACGATGCCCACCTGGCGCTGCTGGAGAAGGACGGCGGGTTTGAGGTGCAGACCAAGCCGCACGGCCACGGCGACGTGCACATGCTGCTGCACTCCACGGGTGGGTGGGGGTGGGGCCGCGGGGGAAAGCACCAGGCGCCGGCTCCCAGTTGGCTGGCCCTCAGCTTGCGTTCCGCCAGCCCCCATCCGCTGCTTGCCTGCGCGCTGTGCCTGCCTGCCGCGCAGGGCTGGCTGACAAGTGGCTGGCCGAGGGCTTCAAGTGGGTCTGCTTCTTCCAAGACACAAACGGGCTGGTGTTCCGCGCACTGCCGGCCGCCATCGGTGGGCGGCAGCGGGGCAGGGTGCTGCCGCCTGCTGCCTGCCTTGCATCTGTCGCCTGCCGCACCCCCGAGCTGGGGCCCGCGCCATGCAGGCCTGGGCTGCTGCAAACACTGGGCCTTTGTCTCAGTGTCTGTTGGCTCCATGACGCCGGCCTGGCCCGCCCTGCAGGCGTGAGCGAGGCCCATGACTTCGACGTCAACTCCCTGGCTGTGCCCCGCAAGGCCAAGGAAGCCATCGGCGCCATCACCAAGCTCACCTACCCAGACGGCAGGTGGGTGGGGCCCCGCCGGCACGCCGGGCTGGCGTCGCCTCCCCTGCCTGGTGACGCCTGCGGTCCGTGCAGCGGCGGCGAGCAAGGAAGCCAGGGGGCCACATGGGAGACGCGTGCCGCGCCTGCTGGGCGTAGTCTCGTCCCCTGATGTCTTGCCACCACTTTCTGTACTGCCCCGCGTACCGCCCCCTCTTACCGCCCTGGTCTTGTACTGTCCCTAATCTGTACCGCTGTACCGCAGGCACATCACCATCAACGTGGAGTACAACCAGCTGGACCCGCTGCTGAGGGCCACCATCAACCCGCAGGGCGACGTCAACGACAGCACCAACTTCTCGCCCTTCCCGGGTGCGCTGCCCGGCAGCAGGGAGGGCGCTGCTGGTGCTGGAGTCGCCGCTCAGGGAGGCGCCACAGTTATTGTGCTGTGCTTGCTGCTGTAGCTCCCTTCCGGTGCACACCACCTGCCTGGCCCCAGTTTGGCCCCAGTTTGCCTGCAATCTCTCGGTGATGTGCCCCTGCATCCCCACCCTCCACCCTCCACGTGTTGCCCCCGCCTGCTGCCGCCCCCACCCCCGCAGGCAACATCAACCAGCTGGTGCTGAAGCTGAGCACCTACTGCGCGGAGCTGCACCGCCACGGCGGCGTGATTGCCGAGTTTGTCAACCCCAAGTATGCAGATGCCAGCAAGACCGCCTTCAAGAGCAGCACGCGGCTGGAGTGCATGATGCAGGTGGGGTGGGCGCGCCTTGTATCACACTGTGCATTACATTACATATGGCTGTGTGCGGTTGCGGTACGGGTGGGGCTGAGGGGCAGGGGGATGCGCAAGGGAGTGGCACGCGGAGGCAGGGCCTCCGCAGGGCCTCCGCGCGCTGCTGTGTGGAGCGACCGAGCGCTGCGCGCGCGCAGCGGCACCGCGCTGGTCCTCGCTGGCCTGCCTCTCGCCGCCTGCGCTGACCTGGCGCTGACCTGGCGCTGCCCCTGCCGCGGAATCCGAAATCCAGGACTTCCCCAAGAGCCTGCCCGAGGGCAGCCGCGTGGGGTTCACCGTGGTCAACCAGGTGTGGGCAGCGTACAGCCCCGTTAAGAACTCGCCCGCCGATGCGGCGTCCAAGGCCGCCAGCGGCAACCCCAGCCACAGCGCCACCAGCGGGGAGCTGGACTGGTACCAGACCAGCTGCAAGGTGGGTCCCAGGCATGGTGGTGGTGGTGTCTGTGGTGGTGTGGTGTGGTGGCGTGTGCGTGGAGTGGAACAAGGAGTGCTGGCGTGCAGGCGGCGCGCAGTTGCCACCCCAGCACTGTGGCCCCACCCAGGCTCCCCAGCGCGCCCCCCCCTGTTGTTTGCAGATGCTGCAAGCTCTGGGCGCGCGCGTGGATGGCCCGCTGCCCGCCCAGTTCAACGGGCTGACGGAGCTGGAGCTGTGGCCGCGCGTCACCTGGTCCCCGCTCTTTGCCTGCTGCTGGGACGACCTGGAGGAGAAGGTCGCGGCGGCCTCGGTGCACGTCGGCAGCGACACGGCGCTGGTGATCGAGGCGCCGCAGGCACGCATCCGGTCGCTCGACCTGCGGCGCGGCGTGCTGGTCATTCGCGGCAGCGGCGGGGCAGCAGCAGCGGCAGCGGCCGGGGGGGAGGCAGCGGCGGAGGCGGCAGGTGGGGCGGCGGCGGGGGAGCGGGAGGTGGTGGTGGAGGACGTTACGGTGGACAACGAGGGGTGGGAGTGGAGGGCACTGTCGCCCGACGAGGGTGCTGCGGAGGAGGAGTACATCCGAGGGTTCAGGGTGGTGCGCAAAGGGCAGATGGAGCTGCCCTGATGGCGCCGCCGCCGATGGTGGCGGGGCGCGCGCGTCGACCTGCCGATTTTTTGGCCCTGCACAGAGACTGCCGGCAGGCACCGCCTGCGGGCACGCTGTTGATTTTGAATTTGATTTTGATCTCCTCCTGACCAACGCACGCCGTCAACTGTCTTGTTGCCGAAACCTCCGCCGTGTGTGATGCCCAACCAGGCAGGATCGGGGGCTAGAGCTGCGGGCGGCTAGGGGCCCAGGGCATGTGTTGGCTACGGAACAGCAGCAGCAGGGAGAAGACAGGACAGGGCTGCAGAACAAGGAATACAGGTCATTGTGGGGAAAGAGGAGGTGAAGCGGCAGCAAAAGGGAGGCAGCATACAAAAGCCGAGCAGGCAGGGGGGGCGGGAAGGTCGGTCGCAAGCGGGGCACCGGCTGGTGGCGACAGCCGGGCTGGGGGCCCACACCAGGGCCGCTCACGACTCTCCAAACATGAAGCGCACGCGCTGCAGCACGCTGTCTTGGCTGGGGTCGTAGGGGGCGTCCTTGGATGGGATCTCCAGGATGGCGGGCACGGGCTTGGTGTAGCCGTCCAGCAGGTGGCGGATGGTGGCGGCGATGACCTGGTTGATCAGCAGCACCGCCACATCCTCCCGGTTGGTGAACTCCCGGAATGCCTCCTCTATCCGCTGCTGCGTGGTCTCTGCAGGGCGGGGCAACGGCGCAGGGCAGGGGCGCGGCGGCGGGCTGCGTCGGCGGGCAAGGGCTAGGGCAGGCACCCAGCACCGCCCGCCCGCCCCTGCCCTGCGCCGCGCCGTCTGGCGCCTGCGTCACTGTGGTCTGCTGCCCCGCACAGGGCACTCACTCTCGTCCACTATCAAGAAGTTGGTGCGCTTGCGCAGGTCGCTGTGTCCCATGCCCGTCAGCAGCATCCCCGTGGCGGTGTCCTGGTCCACGATCATGGCCAGCAGCGAGCCCTCCTGTTGCGCCATGGCTGGGCAGCAGCGGGAGAGGGCCACGCGGGTGGTGGTCGGAAGGGTTTTAGGGAGGGCGGGCGGGGCTTTCAGGCCAGCGGAGGGAGTTCGGTAGCACCAGATCTGCCTGGCTCTGGGGTCAGGTTTACAGAAAGCGAGCCACAGCAGGGCGCAGCAGGTCCTACACGTCGGATCTGTGTAAACCACAGCATTTCAGCGTTGGTTTCATTTGTAAGTCACAGGCGAGAGTCACACATGTCCACCGCAATGTGGGAAGGCCAAGTGGAGGCGTCAAGGCAGCCTGGGAACCGCCACCTCTGCCCAGGCTGCAAGAAATCCAAGGGCTTGTTTTGCGAAGACTGCCTTGTGATCCTGGAAGATCCGAGGCCCGCTCAGATCAGGCTGCCAGTTCAGGTCGGCGGCACACATTCGCCCGCCGCTTGCCGCCGCTGCGCCCTGCTATGCCGTGCACACCCTGCGGCAAGCCCTCCTGCGGACCTCGCTGCAGGTTGACATCGTGCAGCACGGCGAGACCAACGCCCGCAGCACCGCCCTGCATGCCGCGCTGCTGGCGGCTGCCGACGTCAGGCTGCACCGCCACGCGGGCACCTCCACCACCCGCCGCTGCGACCCGCTTGACCTGCCTCTGCCAGACTACGACCCTAGCACCACTGTGGTGCTGTTCCCAGAGGGGACGCAGACGCCAGTGGTGGGCCAGTGCCTGCCCTTTGACCGGGTGGTGGTGTTGGGTGAGTGAGGGGCGCCGGCTGCTGTTCCCTTGCTTGCCACCCAGTTGCTGCTTGCCTTTGCCGCACAGGGCTGCTGCCGTCCCATCTGCCGTGCTGGTATGCTATCCCGCGTCCTTTGCCCGCCGTCGACTTCAGCCGCTGACGTTTTGGTGCCACCGCCGCCTGCTGCAGAGAGCAACTGGAAGAAGGCGCGGGGGCTGCTGCAGCACCCCAAGCTGGTGCAGCTGCGCCGCGTGCAGCTGCCGCCAGGCACGGGGCTGACGCAGTTCAGCTGGCGGCGCGGTGATGGCAGCTTCCGTGGGGCGGTGGATGAGGGTGTTTCCAGCATCGAGGCCATCGTGGAATGCTGCAGGTGCGCTGCTGCTGCTTGTTGTGCGTGCGGCCCGTCTCCTCCTCACCACAAGTAGGCCGGCAACAGCAATTGGGACACCACCCAACCACCGACCCACCATTTGAATCAATTCGCAGGTTGCTGGCTGGCCCCGGGAAGAGCTATGACGGCCTGCTGCGCTACTTCCTGCGCACCAAGCAGCTGGTGGAGCAGCGAGGGCCGCTGCCCACGAGCAGGCAGCAGGCCAGGTGTCGTTCGCAGCGGCAGCAGGGCCAAGAGCAGCAAGCAGGGCCAAGAGCAGCAAGCAATGTCAGCAGCCGCAGCAGCAGGGTTTATGCAGCGGCAGTAGGGGAGCAGCGGGGAGGTGACCCAATGTGATCCTGACATCCTAAAGTTGTGGTTGTTGACCGCATTACAAGCGCATGTTGGGCAAGTTGGTCAAGCGACATGTGGCTGGCACGCTGTACCAGCCAAGGGAGAAATGCGGCGGGTGTTGGGCGGCGCTGCCGAGCGCAGAAGGAGGGTGGCTTTTTCGGGCGGGACGTGGGTTTGTGCCCGCATGGTATATGGCCTGTACAAGGCGGCTGGTTGCCAATCTGGGGGCAGGGCCGCCATGCCATTTCATGCGGGACAGGAAAAGAGAAAAAAGTGTTGGCAGTAGCGAACGCGAAAAAGGTGAATCCTGTACAGAGGGCAAACGGGTTCATGAGAGAAGGCAGAAGGTGGGGGCAACAGACAGATTCAGTTCGTTGGCAACAGTGGTTGCAGCGGCGCAGCTGGCTTGGTGTTGTGCTGCGCGACGAGCAGCCACAATAAATTGTGGAGGCTGCGGAACCAGAGTTGGCTGTGTGCATCAGCAAAACTGGATGGGACGGAGCGCCCACCGAAGGGAGAGGGTGGGGGGCCAGCCCACGATGGGCCTGGGATGGCACAGCACGCACGGCAAGTGCGGCGGGCGGTGGCATCGCGGCGCCAATCACGGGGAGGGCCCCAGCGCGTTAGGACGAGCAAAGAAGCAGGGGAATAAGAGCACAGCAACATAGCGACGCATGACACAGCACTGAGGCACAGAGGACATTGTGAATAGCATAAGACTCGCGGCGCGCGGCGGGCAGGAGCCGGCGCCTGCTGTACAGACGGCGACGTGGGAGGGGGCGGTGCAAAATGGGGTGGGTGAAAGATGGGGGTAGGAATTGAGGGGTTCTGGACCAATGCTGATTACCTAGTCTGGGTGGGACAGATGGGGAGGAATCGGGGGTTGGGCTGCGCACCAGCCCGGGACGCGGGCTGGCGCAGAGGGGCTGCCTACAAAGCTCTCTACACACTGGATGGGTAGGCTTGTCTGTCAGGAAACAGAAACATAGATTGGTGAGGACCGCTGGGCGGCGTTGGGCGAGGCGTGACCTGAGGCATGGGCCAGCAGGGGGAGGCGCACGCGCCTCGCGGCGGCTGGCGGGATGCGCATGCGCCGCCGCCTCACTCGTCGTCCATGCTGGCGGCGATGGCCAGGAAGGCCAGCGGGTTGCCAGAGTCCTGCCGGCCCTCGGGCGCAGGCGTGCCGCCGCCGTCCGCCGACAGCGGGCGCCGCCCCGCGGAGCTGCGCGCGGCGTGCGTGGAGACGGGGGTGTGGGCCTCCAGGCCCGCGCCGCCGCCGCCACCGTGCAGCTGCTTGCGGTCGGAGTGCGCGGCGGCGGCGGCGGGGTGCGCCTTGAGGGGCGTGGTCTGAGTGGGCGCCAGGCCTGCAGCGGGTCCGGCAGGGGCGCAGGCACACGTGAGGACGGGTGAGGCGCGCGGCGAGGGGTGTGGGTGGAGGGGACGGTTGACGGCTGCAGGCCTGACAGCTTGCCCCAAGCTGCAGACCACAGCTGCGGCAGAGCGGCGGGCAGGGCATGGCCCCAGCCCCCATGCCACCCACCGTCGGCCTGCGCGGCGGAGGAGAAGGGGCTGCCCCGGGGCGCGGCCCCCGCCACGCGCGCAGCCAGCACCTCCCCAAAGCTGGTCTGCACAAACGGCGACGGCCCCGGCTGGGCCGCGGGCGCCGCCTCGCCGGCAGGCTGCACGCCCTGCAGGCAAGGGCAGCGAGGCGGGAGCGCGCCTTCAGGCCTCGTCCTGTTCAAGGAAGCAGAAAGGCCAGCAGGCGACCGATTGCCGAGGTTTCCCTCCTCCCGGCTGCAGCCGCAGGGCAGGGTGCTCACCGGTGGGAGCTGCGGCGCGGCGAAGCCGGCGGCAGCCGCCATGCCACACATGGCTGATATGGCGGCAGCCATGCCAGGGAAGACAGATGCCAGGCTCATCATCACTTGCCCTATGTACAGCGCCTGCTGCTGCAGGGCAGACTGCTCGGGGGCCGGCGCCGCGGCAGGCGCTGCCGCGGGCGCAGGCGACGGCGCGGTGCCGCTGCCCGTGGCCTGCAGGGCAGCGTCGGCTGGCGCCGCCGACGCGGGCGCCGCACCGGCCTCCTGCTGCTGCTGCTGCTGCGCTGGCGGCGACGAGGGTGGCATTGCGGCGGCTGGCGCCTGGCCGTCTAGCTGCATGGGGGCCGCCTCTGCTGCCGTGCCTTCAGAGTGCGAGTGGTTGCCTGCGTTGTTGTTGTCGGCCTCAGCCGCCTCCTCTTCCTTCTCCAGCCGCGGCCCAGGCATGGCTAGCGTGGGCGACGCCTCCGGCCCCTCTTGCTTGACCGATGCATCTGCCACCGCCGCCGCCGGCGACGCCGCCGCGGCGGCGGCGGCGCGAGGCTGCTGCAGCTGCTGCGCCGCGCCAAACACGGCGGCGGGGTCAAACGGCGGGCCGCCTGGGCTGCCGCCGGCGCTGACTAGCTTGTTGAAGGCCTGGTGGAAGTGGTGCATGAAGGTGCTGTGCTCCGCGCTGGCGCCAGGCTGGCATGCCACGCTGGCGCCGCCGCCGGGGCC